ATGTTAGCAGTACCAATAAGATATAGTTTATGACCAGTAATACATGTAATGGAACTAGCAGTAGGGTTTACCTGGGCATGCTTACAAAGCGATAGTAAATCATTCTTAGACATTGTAGATTCAGTACTCCAAGTATCAATTATAAAACAGTGAGACGTGCCTGAACTTGTAATGAAGGTTCTCATCAGATGAGATTCAGTGCTGTGAAAATTTGAAAAAGACACTGACTGCATTTTTACCAGACAAAATGGAAGAATTCTGAGTAGCATAAGTATTTGAACTTCTGCAAACAGAATTTATGTGCTCAATTTTACCACATTTATGACGCTTAACAACCCGAAAACGGCAAGTTATTCGTAGATGAATCTTTCCACAGAAAAAACAGTTTAATGTTTTTGCGATCTGTCTGCATTCCATTACATGCGGATGACAGTTTGGATTTCTTTTTATGAACACTTGTATAATCGACTTTGGACAGCATGACCTCATACACTGACGTAGTGGGAGCTGGGTATTCATTGTTGACATATTGATATGTAGTACATAAATCCTTAGCAATTCGAAAAGTGCAGAAAGGTATCTGAATCAGCTCTTTCTCTAATTTCGAAATATTGATCCCAGCAATTATACGATCAGGTCGTTGAGTATGGAGCAGATCCCCAAAGTTGCACTTTGAAGTTTGTATCTGAAGCTGTAGAATAAAGTTTCGAACCTTTTGGTTAGAAGCAGGAGCAAGTTTGTTGAACTATATACCCTCTTTCGTGTTTCAAAAGAAGTAACGCGGAGGTGATCTATTAGAAGTCCATAAAGCTTATCACATGGCAGATAAATTGGTTTATCTGGAAAAGTGAGAGTTTCCAGTAGACTGTACGCATCTAACCCAATATCAGTAATAAAATGGGCTGGAATTTTTTCATACCGAAAATTCTTCGACGTGTGGGGGCCGAAAAACATATCAAATTATACGTTCACTGTAAAATAGTAAAAATAAGGAATTCACTGAAAATCTTGGTTGTTACGTGAGATTGAACAAGGACAATTTGGTTCCGTGCGCAACACGGACGAAGCTTCTTCCCTCTCCAGCTTCTCGTTTTTCCCATCTGCCAACCAACTCTGCCTCATACCGATCCACACTAAGAAAAGGACAATTTCATCCCCATCATTTTATACGCCTATATTTTGAAAATACAGATCCTCAAATACACATAAGAGATGCCAACTGCCGGAGAGCACTTGCGTAGAGAAAAAGTAGATTGGAGCAAAGTATCCTAATGTGGATGTGTTGATCAGTACGAGGTAAATTTGACTGGCAAATGGGAAAAACGAGAAGCTGGAGAGGGAAGAAGCTTCTTCCGTGTTGCGCACGGAACCAGATTGTCCTTGTTCAATCTCACGCAACAACCAAGATTTTCAGTGAATTCCTTATTTTTACTATTTTACTGTGAACGTTTTTCGGCCCTCACAGACGTACACCATGCGTCCAAACATTCAAGGTGATCTGCGATTTCCCGCTGCAAACCGTTGATAGGAAACTTTCCAAAATTCCTTAGCGACGCCAAAATGTAATAGTTATTTGTAATTGTATTTCACAATTTCACCGAATTACAGAAAGTCAACCAACAACACAGAGAGGGCAGAATTTAGGAATTTGTATTTGGCAGAATTATTTGTAATTCACATAATAAATATATTGACAAACAACAGTAAGCATTTAAAGCAATATAGTAATAGAAATTGTCAATCACCACAGTTGGTTTGTTTCCAGAGCTTCTCTTTGCTTATCCTTTCGGGGAGGCTATCTGATTAATAATAATAATGGTAAAGCTTTATTTAAGACAGTATGCAAATATACGGTACAAAAATTTTCAGTACTTTTTTCTTCACAAAGGATTCACATGTAAAGTAATAATCTGAAGTATATCTTCATTTCGTTGAAGAATTGGGAGCAAGTTAAATCACCGCACAAGTTTATGTATAGGTCATCTGATATAGCTGGACGACTAAAACAATGATAAATCCAGATGAAATTAAGCATTTTGAAGGAAAGTAATTTCGGTAGCCCAATGATTTAAGCAGGCCGCCTTAATTGTCAGTGGCTAACGACAGTAGCTGTTGATAAAAGTCTATGCATGGTCTGTTGGAAACGCTTTTCTCAACGCACCACACATCCCTGTACATTTATCAAAAACTGCCTACTGATAAATAGTAGGTCTTGTCATAGTAAAGGGTTATAAAGAGGCATAGAATCGGAGTAACATAATTTAAATAATCAAACAAAAATGTAAGTTGAGAGTAGAATCTTAAATTACAATGAATCACTTACTTCTTATTCTTAACTTAGTAACAAAGAATATCATAGAGAATATAATTTTTTTTTAAAATACCAATATGAAAAAATGGGCACATATGCTTACTGGTTACTGGATGACAACTGTTCTTTTCATGAATGCCTACCTGTAATCTGTCAACTGAACGTATAATGTCATCACTAGGCTAAGTAAAACAAAACTATTATGGATAAAATTTTATTTTGATAAGATCACACAGCGTTATACAATAAGTAATATTTACTGATGACTACATTTCAAGCACAAATTATTGCTTATAATCATATCAAGGTACTCCTCATATAACTTTTTTGCTTCGTTTATATACATGAGTGGAAAGTGATTAGACATTTGAATAAAATCAATATAAGACTTGTGGGGAACAGAAAGGAAGGTAAAATACATTCGGAAATAATATTAGTCTTATCAACAAAATACAATCAGATGGGAAATAAAGTGTTTTTTTTGGTAAAAAGTAAGTAACTTGTTAGAATGTGAATTGAATACATTTTAACATCATTTTTTGTCCTCTGAATTGAATGGTAGTAATACCTCCCAAATCTCTGGCATTTGAGTTGAGTCATTCCTGTTGCATGTGTTGGGTGTAAGACTCGATGAATCAGGCAGGATTCTCCACCTACCTATATTACTTTTTAGAATTTTTTCTCTGTCCTACCGACCCTACTGTGTGGTTGTGTGTTAATGTATGCAGTGCTATAGCTGAGCTTTTTTCCAAATTACTTATCTTCGTGGGATCAATCATTTTAACCATAGCTAAATTCTTATGTTCTAATAATTTCACTACTCCCAATATGCTAGTCTGACCTATGCAGTTGACTTAACCCACAGTCATTGCAAGGTATTTTGTAAATTATATTATTTTGTTTAATTGGACCCACCAGGTCCTTTAATAACCTATAATACAGAGAGACTGTTAACACTAATATTATTTCCGGATGTATTTTACCTTCCTTTCTGTTCCCCACAAGTCTTATATTGATTTTATTCAAATGTCTAATCACTTTCCACTCATGTATATAAACGAAGCAAAAAAGTTATATGAGGAGTACCTTGATATGATTATAAGCAATAATTTGTGCTTGAAATGTAGTCATCAGTAAATATTACTTATTGTATAACGCTGTGTGATCTTATCAAAATAAAATTTTATCCATTATGGAGTTATATTCGACCATAAAATCCGAGTTTTATGCTTAAATCAATACAAACAAAAACAATTTTTCACCCAAACACTAACGAAGAAATTCACCTCCTTCATCTTTTTTAAATTTCAAAATCCCCATTATCCAGCTGTCGATTCATTCAATTCGCCATTATAGCAAAATATTCATTCAGATATCTATAGAACACAAAATAATCGAGCAAAGAATATCCTTTTCCATAAATTCCTTTTTTGGCTCTACAATTATATATACATGTGTTTATATACATAGAACATTCTAGATTGGTAGTTAATAACAATATTAGTGATTTTTAAATAATATCGATTTGTAAAGTAAGATCACAGTGGAATTACAGTTCATTAAAGATGCTTAAATAACAATAATAATAAAGATATAGTAACAAATAGAATATCAACTAAAATTAGGAAAATTCCACACAAATTGAGGATCATTCAAACCTAGATGGCCAAGGTAATGATAATGTCTGAACTAACTTCTTTTGGATGCACAAGTTAGGCTTGTAAATATCGATCTCCACAGCCAGCATCAGCAATATTTAGTAGTCGAACTCTTAAGGCAAAATTCAGATTCTTTGGTATGCGATAAATGACTCTGAAAGCATGGTTAACGTCAATCTTGTGCTCTGTATCCACAAGATGATATAGAATAGCTCCACGAATAGATTTTGTTTGTCCATTACTCAACCAAACAGGGTGATGTTCGGACTTCCGACGAGAAACACACCTAATTGTACGGGCTATGTAAATGGCTCATTCTACAGGAGTAGTTAAATTGGTAGATACACATGGAGGAGGCGAAATTACCCATTTTGTCTTTTACTCCCAAACGTAAAAAAGGAGTGGTCTTGAAGACACAGCGTAATTCGGCAGCATAGAATGCTCTTTTTACCGTATTTCTAAGGCGTTGTGTTAGTATCTCGCTGGTGCTGTCCCCAAGGAACTGCATTTGTAAGAATAAGGCCTTTTTTGGAACTGTTTGATAACTTGGGCTGCTTTGATTTTAGACTCTCATATTCTTATCAATAAACTTTAACTATTTTCATTTAGCAACCGTTTAATATTAATAAGTTCGCCATTAGGTTTGTCAAGTCGCAACTGATACTCTATTGTATGAGAATACATTATTGATAGAAATTAGTCTCAGAGGAACAAGGAAATATTTTATGCAAATACTTAACCTAGTGTGTAATGTAAGTACTTCTTCTACTATTAGGAATGTGCACACACATACTCATCGTATTTGTCTAATGAAAGCGATATTTTGCTGCCAAGTAAACTCAAAAGTGCAGTGTTATAATGAAAGATGTCAGTCGACATATATACATATATATATATATTTGCTGAGAGTGCATATATGTATATAGTTAATAACAGTTAAACAGTTAAAGCGCAGCATTTAATAGTTGACATATATATATATACCCTTTATTATTATTATTTTTTATTTGTAAAGGAGAAAAATACGAGAAATGTTGACTTGTTGTTTCTATTTCAAATTGTTGATTATTTCGTCTATTTCTCTTCTAAGTACAAAATGTTTACCAATTCTGTTATATAACAAGGTATTTATACCAGTTGATCTTGGTGGGTTTGCTAATGTGGATTATCCCCTCTGGGGATTTTCTTCCTTTACTATCCTTACATATTATAAACCTTATGATTATAAGAAACATGTTTATCCACATCACTATTATTATTATTATTATGCTCCAAAGTCAAAAACACATAATAAACAAAAATTATTAGTACAATCGTCATTGTCTTCAGTAACCCAACCACCGTCACCGTCTTCATCACTCACGTATAAAAACAATGCACCTTATAAAAAGCAATATGTCCAGAGTTCTCAGCATCATAAAACCTCATTGAACTATTACAACAGTCATACCAAGAAGAAGGAAAAGGGGAAGGAATCAGTGGAGAATAATATTATTACTCCAGTCAATTATTGTAATAAATATCATCATGGATATAATCATCAAAAGAATCGTTGGACGCCTATTATTTATCATGATCAGAAAAGAAAGAATCGATTAAGTCATCATTACTTGGGTAGTGTAAAGAGATTAAATTATAGGCATGAAAGAAGTGAATACAATTATCCAACACAAAAATATATCAATAAAAGGTATAAAAATGTTAATGACAAAACTACCTACAATATTGCTGGATATAAACTCAAGAATTCGCAATACGATAAGTATAATAATGGGAAATTAAAGTATGCTGAAGCGAAATTTGATGATAGTACTGTTGGTAGAAAAGATACCTACGATGTTGGAAGATATCAGTCGAAGGATTTGGAATATGATAAACGTAACAATGAAGGGATAAAGTATGATAGAGTCAAGTCTGGTGACACTCTTGATAGAAAAGATACCAACGATGTTGGAAGATATCAATCGAAGGACTCCGAATATGACAAACTTAACGACGAAGGGATAAAGTATGATAGAGAAAAGTTGATTAACACTCAAGATGAGAAACGTACCTATGGTGTTACACGACATAAACCGAAGGATTTGGAATACACAAGGCATACTGATGAAGACACAGAGTCTCATAAACCAAAATCTGATAACAAATATGAAGAAGAATACAAGAGTAAAGGATACGATTCTCATCAACGTGAAGATACGCATAAAACACATCTTCTTACCCCTAAAATATCACGAATTAGCTACAGTTATGAGAAACCCTCTCCTAAAGGTAAAAATATAAAGCCTAACAAACACCAATCCAATAATTATAAATTGTCAACAGACTATGAGAAAATTGATCACGACAAACCTTTACCTGCTTATGCTGAACCAAAATATGCAATTTTATATGATGAAATTAAAAGCAGTAGAGGAAGCCATGTTGAATCAAGGAAAAAATATAAAAAACTAAAAGAAAAAGAAGAAGTAGTAGGATTACGCAAAATGATGAAAAAACGCACTTATAATCAAAAGTCTCCTAATAAAAAGTCAAATACCAATGCCAAGAAGGAAGGCAAATCAAAACCGAAAGATAAGAAGAGTGATAAGAAAAATGAACGTAGAAAAGATCGTGACAGCATACTTATGGTAGTTAATGAATACACATAAGACTAAATTTGGATAGTGAATAAAAAAATATGTGTATGATTTAATTCAAAATAAAACAAGCTTATTCTCTATACATATTGTATACTGTTCCTTGTGTACATTCTTTCCTCGGGTTGTTAACTGGGATGGATAAATCAATGAAGTTATTGAAGTCTATAGGAATATAGTTTATATTGCCTAGTATAGAGTTACATGAACAGTAACTTCTGGTGTAACTGTGACACACATACACCATATAGATCTATTGACAACATAGATTTTGGTGTGTCAAGGTAAAATATGGTAAGCAAATAAGTATAATTTCTATTGTAAACAGTATTTCAAGCTAGAATTTAATTGATCGATGGTGACTAGCAGTGGAATCAAGGACAACACTCATTTCATCTTACTTGGGACTCGTCATCTGGATGTACCTGCATCCCCTAGTGAGTGATGATGTTCTATTGGAAGTAGGTGATTAGCTTAAAAAATGAAGTGTGAATATCAGAAGCGTTAGATATAATTTATTAACTATTAGGATTAAGTCATCATTGGAAATAAGATTCAGAAAACAAAATCTTGTGAATTTTAATTGAATTAAAAGTTAGTTATTCTTGAAAATGTTTGTGTTTTAATATCATGCTTGACCTTGAATGATTTTTAAAACATCAGTATTATGGTATGAGAAAATGTGTAACTATAGTTAAAATAATAATAATTTTTCCTTCACGTTCCCAGTGGAACATAGGGCTCCAAGCTAGTGGCTTGAAGTTTCTGTAGCAGTATTTAATTTTTACAGCATGGGGTTGCTAGCCTCATGCCCAATCTTTCCTTTTTACCAGCATTATTTCTGGCTCAGTGAGGTAAAGGAGTGCACCGGCCGGGGATCGAACCCCGGAGCATATGCATGGTCGGCGAGCGTGCTAACCGCTATACCACCGACGCACCGTAACTATAGTTACAATGCATTAATTCATGTGTGAACAATACATTACCTGATTGATCTTCATTCTATATATTAAATAAACTTTATAAAACATAACCTCTCAATTAATCATGAGATAAAGTGACAAGCTGACAGTCTTCAGACTGACAGTTCCACTTTCTGTTCACTTGCTTTATTCGTATACTCCAGAAGAAAGTAAAATATTGATAGAATTGACAAGACATAAAAAGATAAGATATTTGTCAGTCATCTCTGAATGTCAACTTTATCCAATTTGAAAAAGTGTAGGAAACGAGAAGACAGTCATACGTTGGTCAGAGGCGCGTTTACTGGAAGACCTGTACTTTGTAAATGATTTATGTCTCGTGTCGCACAAAAGTGAAGATCTACAGGTGAAAACCACCAAGTTGGCCGAAGAGGCCATCAGTGAAGACATGATTTCAAATGAACACAAAGAAGATAGGCCTGATGAAAATATCTGATCACTACCAACAAGTACTAATCACCATCAATGGGGGAAATCTAAAAGGGATTCTTCTCATTCACTTAACTGGGAAGCTTTAATTCAACTACAGATGTTGGCACGAACAAGGATGTCAAAGCCAGGAGGTATTGAAAAAACAAAACAGACGTTCATTACTTTGAAGTTGATGAAGAGGTCTACAGCATTCACCATGAAAAATAAATCCCAATTTCCAACATTAATTTCAAGTCAGAACTCTTATATGGTTCAGAAACTTGAAGCAGAACAAAATGTATTTCCAACAGTTTGTATACTTTCATCCACAGCCACCCTCTTCTCTCGATAGTGAGAATCAGACCGGTCGGTTAGAAAAGATAAAAACAAGGGACTTTGTCAAACAGAGAACCTGTCAGCAACCCATTACACAAAAAAGATATTTAGAAAGAACTAAAGATGGATTGGACATTCAACTGACATCACACAGTGGGGCGGGGAGTGGGACTGTGATGGAAAGCAACGAGCTGGCTGTCTAAGTATAATATGTAGGAGGTGATCTGAGGAGGAAATGAAAGCCGGTGAACAGTTGGGAAACGGGTTGAAAGTGATAGCCGGGAACAGAGTGCAATGCAGACGCGCTTGTGAAGCTTAAAGTTTCACTTGGAAAGCAAGGAATGAATGATATAAATAATTTTTAAATCGTGGTCAATGACTTATATCTTTAGTTTTTTAATTACGGTGTCTTAAAGATATCAACTCAATAAACTTTTGTCAGGGACTCTACTTCTTCTCTTACAGAATAACCAATGTCAATGGCATGCAAATCAACTTCGTTCTCATCATTACTTTTCTTTTTAACCATTATTGCATTTAAGTTTAATTTCAACTGTCTCTTCTGTATTTTATAAACTAAATTAACAACTGTTTCATTTATTAGACGGTTGGAGGCAATCGGCAGGGGAAGCCTTCGACCTAGTGTCCAATCAAAAGTATCTAATACATTCCGACAGAAGGCTAATCGCTAGCGCGGATAGCCTGATGGTAACGTCTCTGCCTGCAACACTGGGTGACAATGGTTCGAATCTCAGAAGGGACATAAGTTCATTCCGCATTGCAAAAACATCTTGCTGACTAGTGAATGCCGACAAGTACGAAACCTGGGTTCAAGGCTTCCTGTGCCCGATTGCCTCCAAACACCGAATAACAACAATCCCAAGTGTATCGTGATGGTGAACCACCTAGCACGGTGACTACATTGCAAACTTGACTAATAAAATTCTGTCTGATGTAAAAAAAAGGACTAGACACACGACACTAGTCAGTGTCCAATCAAAACTGATTTATTTACTATTTGTTTGTAATGAAATCCTTATTTATCCCCATAAGCTCAAGTCAATTTCAATACCATTTCATAATAACTCTTATCTAATGTCACATTTCAACAATAACTTCCTCTGGTATTTGTATTCCTTAGTGACTTGATTCCCACTATTATTCTAATCTGCATATACATGTACTGTATTCGCCATAATAAACTACTGGAGTGTCGGTTTTTTTTCTCCAGATACTTAAATTCATTGAAGCCTTAGCCATAAAAAGACTTAAACCTGTCTTATGTGTCCAAACCTGCCTTGGTAATCCAAGTTAGAACCAAGGACCAATTTACTTCATAATATTTTCAATCCCTTCTTTTCCTTGTCTTTTCTCTTTTTTTATCTTTCTTACCCACCCCTTTTGCGCCTCCCTACCCATTCTTTGTGACCTTGACCTGTACACCATCTGACCTGTATTGTAATCATTCATGCCTTCTATAAAAACTGTGTATGACAAGTGCACATATGTGATCAGAATGTCCGAAATGTGTTGCGTCAATACATTACACGTTTCAGATAAACTATGTCTTCTTATTGTGTTGTCGAAATTCATAAAGAAACTAATTGCTTTAGATTTGATTACATTTTTCACGATCCAACGTTATCCAGAATATATTTCCCAGTAATTAGTAAAACCTGGTTATCATAGAAGATTCAATCCTCGTTAAATAACTTAGTGTATAAAGTTGGGCGATTATATGGCATATTCCATCTTTATCCGGTGGGTATTACGAGATTTCAATAAATACGCTAAACTATACCAGCACGACTTTATGAAGATTCAATAAGATACGTTGGACTTTTGAAATGAATGCCTCGTTCAATCTATTACATTGTGTAGATGTCATCATTATCAAGCGACACCTTTTGATAAAAGTGTAACAGATGTAAGTAACAGAGTTCAAGAATACACTGCCACCGATAATATATACACCAGAAAACAATTTTCATCGACTAACAATGAAAAAAAAACAAATAAAAGAATTGATTCTGTCTGTAATGCAAGTAAACATATTTAATCAATCTAGATTGACCACCACTTCCCCTGTATCATTTAGGATTGCATCTTAACGTAACTTGCTAAATTTCGTCTACCTAGGGGAATTCAAAACTTACATTTAGTCTTATATAGAAAGCTTCACCTACTGGAATGTAGATTCATCCTTCTGAATAAAAATTACAGGGCTCAGTTTCCCTACTAGTCACAACTAAACAACAACAAAATATCAAAGTTTACATTTAACATAATTTTTTAAAATAGAAAATATCAGTGCACTTTATGATCGCATTGTTATGAAGAATAATTAAAATTACAATTTGAAATGTCAATAATCTATAAAAATTTATTCAGTTCATAATTTAATCGACAGTTCAACTTCATTTTTTCATTTATGACGCAATGAACTATTTTCTTTTCAAATTTTGCATCATAGGGGACTATGATAAAAAAAAGATTCTCTTTTTATATAGTTGGTTTGTAAGCATTGATATCAGTTAGAAAAACACTGACAACCAGTCCTGGAGTACTGGATAGCTGTTTCATCCCAGTTTGGGAATCATCGTCAGTATACACCCACTGGGGTTCGAACCCAGGACTTTCCAGTTACAAGGCAAGCTGGCTCGTATACCATTCAGCCATTAGGACCGGATTCAATGGCCAGTCCATGAATTCTAACTTCTACCAATTCGTGATTTACCGTGACCACCAAACAATGTCATCGGTGGGACATCCATCCTCACACGTGACATCTGGATGGACCTCACTGTTCATGACTTCTCAACAGAACTCCACAAAACTCCATTCTCTTTTTGCTTTGATTAATTCTACTCCACTTGAATAGAGTTTCATATCTAACGTGTACTTATTGTAATTATCGCTTGAAGAAGTAACAGATACTATTTATATCTGAAGTGATATTGCTGCCTAACGTCTTAAGTTTTGCAGTATATATCTTCACAATAAGGCAGTTTAATAAGGAAGAAAAGTAAATTAAAAATAATGTTATCTAAACTCATAAATAGTAACACAAAGGGAGTTTAAATAAAAGTTACTACAATTAAGATGAGAATTAGGCATGATGACATCTCTACCTCTGTTATCAGTTGTTTTTCTTTCCACTCCACTGACTTCTCAGTAGAATCCACAGCTTCAAGCCTGAGATTTGAAGTTTCAATAGTGATATTGTTCTTTTATAGGTTGAGGTTGCTAACCTCATGCTTGACCTCCCCCCTTTCACCCTGT